GCGAGCAGTTCGCTTACCTGCAGCTAGGCACCATCCTTGCCACTTTCGTCCGCCGCTACTCTTGGAAACTGGCAACTCGCTTCCCTGATCCTGACTACAACGTGAGTGGCCTCGCTAAACATTGGACCTGAGAAAAGTACGCTGACCTCTGTGTCCACTCATCGCGCGTCATCATTGTAGAGCATGATCGTCCTGCCCAAGGCGCCCAACAACCGCATTGTACTCAAGAAGCGATCATAGATGAGAAGCTGACCACAGACAAATCATACGTGGCGCGGAGGCGCTCTTGGCAAAGAGAGTCGAGCAACGCTCAATGCCCCTCTCTTCGTTTCATCTGCAAAGACCATGGCAACAGCACATGTAGGGGACATGTTGCTCTGGTGATCCGATCTCAGATCTGCAGTGTGCATAATTCCTCCGCAAGAGCACACGATACATCCTCTTAATGCTATGAAGATACCTTTGGTCCTCAAGCAGCGAGTGTCTGAGCCAAGCACCAAGTTCCAGCAACGTAGTCAGAAGCAGATTCGCAATTTGAGGGTCTTGATATGATTTGCGGCAGCATGGCGTTTGAGTATGAGCTAGTGGTTAGTGTGTACATACAGGATGACAGGCCACGTCGCGAATAAGATCGAGGCAGATGACACAGAGAGTAAGCCGGTAGCTGGAGCGAGGAGCCGAGACTGCCTTAGCTCCTAGGGCAAGACTGAGAGCTGATCGGGCAACGAAGGCTGACGAGCGCTTGATTTGCGCTCCGGCCCAGCTCAGCTAGCCGATCGCGTGGTATTAGACTCGGATCGAGGACTTCAAGCCCCTGCTGCAAGACGTTTGTGGTTGTTGATCTCCTCTACCAATCCGTTCTCGCTTTCGCACTCCGCATTTGGATTGTCCTTTCTCTTCTTGCTGGTTGGCGAGGCGCCCAAGTCCTCCGGTTTGACTCGAATGACGGGATCAGCAGATGCGCCAGAAGCTTGCTCGTCTCGCATCTCTGGAGTGGCATCCCTAGAATCTGTAGGGCTCTTGATGTTACTGCCCGCTTGAGGCGAAGCACCTCGGGCACCTACTGTGCTAGATAGGGCTTTGGCGGAGTACCGACAAGTCGCGTGGTAGTACTGCAAGAGAGCATTGAAGATAGTGAAGTCAGGACCATCTGCGCTGCCGAAACACTTTCGAGACCCCTTGACGATACTCACAACGCCATCGACCTTCGTAGCATCCTTCCAGATCCATTCCTCTTCGTCTTCATTCCACTCGCTCTTAAACAGCTCTTTGCAGATAGGACAGGGCCTGGTAGCAGCGCTAGGATCATCGCTTGGCGCCACAACAAAGCTCTTGGCCGCAGCTCTCAATTCGGCCTGCTGAGCGGGCGTCAATCCTCCGCTTCTGGCGCTCTCCTCGCCCGCCTCCGTCTTCGTAGGGGGAGAATCGTCGAATCCGCCTCTGATCCAGTATCCAATTCGACTCAGCCAGGATCTGCTTTGACCTTGACCTCGAGCGGCCATCTCTTTGGCTCGACGGTTGTGTCTGAAATGCCAATCCAGGTGCTCGTCCATGCTCTTCTGACCCGCGTCACCTGCAGGATATCTATTCGAGCACTGTCTACATTGCAAAGGCAAAAATTTGTTGCTCGTCATGATCTCGACCGACAAGCTGTTCGGTTCCTTTTGTAGAGCAGGTCCACTCAAGTTGATGGAGAGAGAAAGCACAGCAGATTCGTAGTCCCAGTCCTGAGGTCGCGCTTTGGCTGCTGCGGTAGCTGACGCTGTCAGTGAAGCCTCGTTTCCACCCGCGTGGGGTGGTGTCGAGATGACATGAGGCGGGGTCGCCGTAGCCGAAAGTCCACTCTTGATCAGACCGGCCTGCATCAAACTTCGTATCAGATCGCTAGGTTGCGCAGCAGCTGCTGCAGGTGCAGGCACAGCAGCAGGTCCGGCACCATTGGAGGGTTGGTGAGGAGGTGTGGCGCCACCGAGCGGACCCAACCTGCCGAGATTTGCCAACGTCTCTGCGAAGCTTGCTGGCAGAGCCACCGACGCAGGGACAGGCGACCTCGTCTGAGAAACTCCTTGATGTTGTGCAGACGCGCCCGACGTGTGAGGGGGTGAGAGCGCACCATTGAAACCTTGAAGTTGGGAATCGACTGACCCATCTGCGCCGGGCCCGACCTGATCCTGCTCGAGGGCTTTGATGGCAGACTTGGAGCTTTGAGCGCTCAAAGCTTCCAATTGAGCCGTGATCTGACCCAGTTCTTCCCGCGTCAAATTGCTACTCTGAAGCACGCTTTTCAACTGTCTCAGAGCAGTCATACGATTCTGATCGTGAGCGGCAGGATTTCGATACTGCAGCTGGGTACCTAGGGCCAGCAAACGATCGATCAACTCCAGACCGCGCTGTTTCTCAGCTACCATTGCATCTGGCACAGGCGCTGCACCGGTCACATGCGGCATGGGCGAATTGTTGCCGCCCGAAAAGTGTTGAGGTGTACCGACATTCTGGACTACCATCGGCGACCGATAGCCAGAGATCGAGCCCATTGCATTTCCCTTGTTCGTCTGCGGAGGTCCTTGATTGCCGAACAGTGTCCTCTCAACCTCCCATTGCGCGTTTGGGCCAAACAATTGTGATTTACCCGGGCCGCTGTTCCTCCACGTAGCAAGCAGCTCTTCCATCCGCATCTTCGTTGGCTGGTCGACGATTCGATATGTTTCGAGAAACAAGGCGGAAATACGCTCAGACCACATTGTTGTGTACGGTGCACCAACGTTTTTGGAAATGGAATCGAGCAAGTACAAAGCTGGCAAGCGATGCTCAGGACGCGCCTGTGACCCGCACACCAAGACATTCGTTACGAGTGCGTGGCAGTCCGAAGGGCCAAAACGAATGCAGAGGGATGGATAAGAGCAGTGACACACAGAGCATCGCAATCATGAACGGTGGGAAAGCAGAGAAGAGGCCGAGTCAGCACCCATGTACTGCACGAGGTCAATGATCATCAACGCTGGCCGTTGTTGACAGTCAGCTCGTGACGATGCTCACCGCTGAAATGTGTTCATCGAGGACCTGCGCGATGACGTTGGCCATGTCACCCGCGTGCTCGTGCGCCAAGATCGTGAGCCCGGTGATGATAGGCTTTGAGTTGAAAGTAAGCTGGGAGAGCTGGCCGTGATACATTGCGGCAAAACTGTCAGGATCTGAAGGTGCTTGTGGTGGCAAAGTAGGAGATGCTTGAAAGTATTGCTGCTGCGGTGCTTGAGGTTGCTGAAAAGGCTGGTGCTGTTGGTATTGATGTTGGTGGGGCGCGGGAGCTTGCATGTGCTGCACTGGTGATTGGTACGAATTAGACGCTTGTTGAAAAGCGCCGCTGCTCAATTGCTGCGGGAATTGTTGGTAACCTTGCCCTTGTGCAGGCCCTCCATACGAAGGCGCTGCGTAAGGTGGCTGAGGCCCGCCAGCTGCGGCTTGACCGTAAACAAAGCTCTGCTGACCGCCCCACATGACGAGCGCTAGCAGTGCGCAAAGAACTGACAGCAGACCCTTCCGTGTTAGCTTGCGCGTCGTTCGATGAATTCGTGTCCGAACACACGAGCATGCGACACTCACAGTAGACAGGATGAAATAGAAAACTTCTCTCTGCGTCGTGGCTGTGGAGACGAACCGGCGCAGTGCAGTGTGTTGCGCGGCGAGCACTGGTAGAGCAAGCGACCAGAGCGCCCCCGCAAGACGTTTTCAAAGTCGCGCAAAAAAACGTTCGAGGGCTCAATCAAGATCCAACGAAATCGAGAGGGCTCGAGGCAAAGACAGACGACCAGCAGCTGTGATGTACTCAGCGAGGCGCTGCAAGCAAAGTTGCAATCGAAGCTTTGGAACACAGCTGAGCCTCAGGGCGATGGCTGGACAGCGTGAGCCGTCTACAGTAGCCAGAGGGCGCACGGGGCAGGACGAGGGGTGTCACAGTAGGGAGCGATGCACGCGGATCAAGTCACCAGGGGTAGAAGAGACAAGAGCAGAATGCGAGTCACACTCGTCGAGAGGCAAGCCTCGTATCAAGGCAGCTCGAGTGCACGAGCTAGCACGCTGCCCTTCGCAACAATGCTCCTCTACCCCTGCGATACCTTGGCGCTCTCTGACGCCCGACTGGTACCAAACGCGTGCTCAGACGAGGCCAATATGATATTCAAGACCAATGACCAGACAATAGTGGTGCGAAAAGCTGAAGGCGAAGTCGTTGAGAATGGTCCGGTGACCTGAGTGGAGCACTGGTCTCGACTGTTGGCCGGATGTCTCTTGCGCGTCAGTCAGACCGGTCGTCTTCAAGGCTGAGGCTACCTGGAGCTGGCTGGAATACTGAGCGGCCCAGGCAATGCTAGGCATGAAACGTGATCTGCAAGCGGAGAGTGAGGTGCTTGATCACGAATTGATCTTGTTACTCATGCAGGCTTGGGGTATGTGATGGTCGGAATCGAAGTTGTTAGCGGCGCGGATGGGATGAAGAGGCCTTTTTCATGGGCGTGCGCCAGGCGCGCTGCATTTTGGTAGATGCGCTGACGCACACTCGACCGGCCTGTGCGGCGGGGCCTTCCGTGCTGTCACGTCCCGCGCCATCGCCCCTCTCAAATCACGCATGCGCCTGATGAGCGTGCACGCGTATATCCTTGACACATCACCTGGCGCTCGCCATGCGCCACGCGCGGCTGGATGCAGAGTTTGCAGCGGCGATCGTGAACCGTGAATCACGTGTACTGTACTTGTTATCTGCGGTCTGGTATCGAATACACGTGACAGACTTTCGGCTCGTGTCATCTTAAATCAAATCACTCGGACTCATATTGACTTGAATCACAATGCAGGGGCTTTGGCCACGAGAGACACATTCCGAGTCGTGAGCCCATACAGTCAAGAGTTGGAGTTTGAGGGGTGAGTCTCGAGTGTTGAGGTGGCCTAAGGTCAACATCCCCGATCCAAGAATCAAACGCTGCCTGGACAGCACAGCTGCCATCGACTACCCCCACTTGGTCACGCTGGTAACGCACCTGATTGCAGCGCCCTTGCAAGCCTTTCTCCTCAGCTGCACTTCTCTGCAGCGTTTCGGGCTACGCTGCGATCGCCCGTACTGTCAAAGATGATCGTCTTGGCTTTGGTCGCATCTGGCAGCGACGTCTTAACCGAGTCACACGACCCTGCGCACGAGCGATTTCTGGTACGTGCTATGTGCTACGTCCCGTCTAGTTGGGGTTCGCAGATGCTGTTGGATGCATGCTGACTGGATAAATGGCTCTCTTGCAGACCGCAGCGGACACGATCCTGGCAAGAATTCCTGCTAGCTCAGAATCGAGTGGTGGAGGTGCACAAAGATTGACGTACACATACGAGAGCTGGCTATTTCACTACCTGAGCCAGGATGGCCTCACGTATTTGTGCTGCGCGGATCACGAGAGTGGCAGAAGGCTTCCCTTTGCCCTGCTCTCAGAGGTGCAGAAAGAGGTGAGCGTTTGTATGCAGCTACTCCCTGCTTCGCGCTGCTTGCTCACAAGAAGGTTCGCTTGGTCTACGCAGTTTCTGGCCACTTTCGACGCACCTTTGCTTGACTCGCCGGCACCAAGCGACTTCCATCCTTTCGACTCCAAGCTGACTCAACTCTTGAAACGATTCAACGATGCGCCAGACTCGGATCCCGTGAAAGCTGCTCAAGCAGAGTTGGCAGGCGTCAAGGATATCATGACCAAGAACATTGAACAAATTCTCAATCGTGGAGAGACGCTGGAGTTCTTGATGAACAGGACAGACAATGCGGCTCAGCACAGCATGGCATTCAGGCGGAGAGCCGTTGGTGTGCGGAGAAATATGTGGTGGAAAAACGTTAAAATTATGCTCCTGGCTGCGATGTTCGCCTTGGTGAGTTGATCGTTCCCTCTGCCCGAGCTTGTCTCATCGCTCAGGTTACTTTGCCTCTGCACGTTCAGGTGCTCATATCAGCAATCGCTCTGTCTATCTACAATCCTTTTCGATAAATCTGCAAAGGGCTGCTTCTCGCAGATGTCCTCTCTCTATAAGTATACCCTGCGCTTCGCTTCGATAAACGGTATCAATGCATCAAATTATCCCTTGTGGCTTGCCATCAGCATTTGGCGTTCGGCAGGGAAGCCGATGTGTACTGGTCAGTGTGATCTGTTCGGAACGTACGGGACGTAGCTGAGGTTCAGTTCTTGCAAGCAAGGGTATTTGGACAAAAGGACACCAACATCGTCGAACAGGCGTTCGCGGTCCGAATGTTGGTATCGCTTGCATAGGTACCCCGTTGGTTGTCCAGTTGCGAACAGACGGGAGCGGGCGTTTGCGCGCCTGCCCAATTCTCCCCGCGCTGGAAACCACTAAAGGCCCACTTTCCCCTGTCTTTTCTGCAAGACCGTTAATCAGGTGGCAAACCACTGCGACGCCGGCGTCAGCAACTCTGCGTCAAGAACATACTAGATGTCGCTTATCCTTGAGGCTGAGTATCAGCTCCAACCTTCACGCGGAGGTCGTGAGTCTGCCCTATAACGATCGCGGCGCTCTTGCCACCACATGCTCGTAAGCCCAAAATCCAGCAATACGGACTATATCGCGCCACGAAAGACAAGTGTCAGAATCCTGCGAGCTGCAAATGCGACGGGTCTTGCACAACGCGAGAGCTCCCGCCACCGACGACGGAGAATTGGCGTTCCGCTATCCTGGCCGCCCGCCACGACTTCAGTGGCACTCATGTTCGCCACAGGATACACTGTGACTGAAAGCGTTGACAAAGCTGGCGAGCGAATCGGACGTGCAATGGAGCCTTCAAATATCAGGCAGATGCGAGTGTTGCTCCTCGGCCCGACTCACCTCTCGCGTTCTTCACAAATGCTGCTGGAAAGCAACCTCTGATCAGGCCAACAGCAAGACCGCTGGCCAGAGGTTGAAGTGGTGCATCAGCAATACAAGTCTCGCCTACGCGTGCAGCTGGCCGGCGAATTACTGATTGCACAAGCTGCTCTGAAGCTCCATGGCAAGCTTCCGACAGTATCTCGCTGGCATCATGCTAGGCTGGAAATCGGCTACGTCCCTCTTTGCGGTTGTGGCTATCTTCTCGACCACGAGGGCAGCACCCACAGGTCTTGCAGAGGGCGCTGCGAAAGCTGCTGAGGCTTTGCATGGCACTGCCACTGGTGCGGCGAGTCCAGCTTCATCGGAAGGCTCAGTGAACTTCCTCCTTTCATCGCCCGAATCGTCAGTGAACTTCGCTTCTCCCACTGGCAAGCTTCCAGACGCCACGGCTTCAACGGCTTCTTCCCACGCCCAGGGAGCCAAGAGCAGAAAGCCTTCAAATCGCGCATCGCTCCAGATGGTTCCAAGTCGGAGAAGAAAATTCAGCGCAAATGATTTGAACCGCGAAAGAGCTACAAATGTCATCAACGAAGCGATACCTGAAGACAAACTCAGACCCGCCCTCGACGCGCACAAAGCTCGTGCATGGATTGGTCCGGTCAAGAAGATCGGCGTCAAGTTCAGCAGCAACATACCCAAACATCAACACGAGATTTTAGCCCACGCGGCAAAATTGCACGCGGAGACATTTGTGCCACAGGCAGACAACGTCAAGGTGCGATCAAGAAGCTCTGTTGCAGGATAGATCTCGTAGCTCATACTTTTGTTCTGCCTAGGTGTGGAGAACATTTGGGCCAAGTTTTCACGAACCCATCTATCACGCGAAGGCAACAATGTTCGAGGTGGAGGGCTCGAAACAGCATCGCATTGAGGGTGGTGGCAGGACATCGCTAGGTGAGCAGCCGATAGCAGACTCGCTTGGAAGATGTCAGGGCACTGACGCAGGTGCGGAGCAGGCTATTATCATCGGGGCCATCATATCATGATGCCTCCCGGTGCGGTCTTTCGGCCTCATCCGACACGTCCGCACCTCGTTCTTGGCGATGATCAAAAGCCGGTCGGAGTGATGGTCAAAGAAGAGGAGCCCTACGAGCCTTGGGCAAAGCGGAAATCTACCTTGGCCGAACAGGCCGCCGCTCGGGCCAAGCAGGTACAGGCAGAAGACCTACCGGAAGCTCACACCCAGACTGCGACTGCGGGTGTTGAAGCACCTCGAGCTGATCCCGTGCAGCTCCGCCTACATCGCGACCCTAGGTACGATGGTGGTCGCATGCTTCCAGCTAGCTTCGACAAGCAGCGTCACATACCCACAGACTTTCCTCATGGACTGACGATACAATTCCACGATAGAGTACCTCTTGGGCAACGCAGAGCCATGCACCTGGCGATAGTCAACCACGCTTCCAAGTACCTACCTGACGCCACTCATGCCCATGTGAGTACAAAAAGCCTGATTCACGCTTGAGCAGCTTTGACAGATTTTTCTGCTCGCATCTTCGGTCGACAAGGCAAAGTATGCTTTTGGATCAAGTCCAACGGAGCCAAAGACCCACGCACTAGTTCATTTTGAACCTTCTAATCCAGCAGGCTACACAAGCACAGGCAGATTTTACAGCGGCCGAACCCACGTCTACATGCAAGAAGGCACGAAGTACAAGAGCTTCGAGAAGCATATAGGCTGGGTTCACGCTCAGGACCCGGGCGAAGACGCGCTTATCGGGACGACTCGTGATGTGCATGCTATGAGGCAAGAGAGCAAGCGACAGCGCGGTGTTTCGACATCCTCGCATGAATCCGATTCTTCCTTACCCTCTCATCCTCTTGAGCCAAAGAAGGCGCCAGAAAATATACCAGTTGCATCGTCTTCGAGTCATTTTATGCCACTGCCTTCACACTCCGCTATTGGCTCTAACACACCGCCATCGTCAATAGACCAGCCCAAGTCGGGCTCGGCATCTTCTGTTGTGGCTCATTTAGCACATCACTCTTCGCCAGAGCGCAACGCGCTCGGAGGTTGGCCTAGCTCGCCTCAGCACAGCTCAGCTTCGCAAGACTTTTGGAACGCGCTCTTGGACTCGCCCACTCACAATGATCGCTATCTTTAAGCGACGCGGGGTGACGGCACTCGCTCGCTGCGGTCAGCGCTGGCAACTCAGGGATAGGACTCTGGTGTGGCCTTGCCTTCGGCGTACCTTGGATACACACTCGTGACTATCGAGTTCTTGCGTGCTCACCGTCATTCGGACGCAGCAATCAACGAATTACAGTTCGTTCAGCGTGTCATTTCATCACGTGACTTTACATTCAGGTCTGGGACACCTTTGATGTTACTCGGCGAAGTTGGACTGGATAAGCGACTCGATGAGACTCAGCTGCTGTTTCAAGTCTGCAACTCCAGTTAGTGAGCCTGCTTCAATTCGCTCAGGGACCTTGATGCAAGAGAGTTGCTCCCATCCGAAGATTGCTCCATGCGCGACCCAGCAGTGAAAGGGTCCGTTGATGCGCGCGCTTCAGCCTTGGCGTGCCTGCGCTTGAAGAGCGCAAACGCCAGGCCCAGCAGTAAGGCTGCGCCTGCCACGCTACCGACGACGGCACCTGCAATCTGACCG